GGTTGGACTCGATGATCTTAGAGGTCTCTTCCAACCTCAATGATTCTATGATTCTGTGATTTGATGTCCCTGAAGTTCTTGTCTGAGAAGGAACAGTGTACAATCACTATTTTGTAAAGAGGTCACTTTGGTTTGAGTCACTGTTGTCCAGGTGCCTGCTTCTTTTTAATTCAATGGTGAAAGCTCCCAAGTGCCTCAAGGACACAGATCAGGCATTTGTAATTTTTTCTTCACTTTTCCTAAACATTACTGGCATGATGCATTGCAAAAGTCTGCCAGTTGTTACCACAAATGGCTGAGACTGCAGAAACAGCAAAGAAATACTCACCACCCTTGCCTTGGCCTGTGTAACCTATTTGTACATCCTCCGTGCATCACTATCTGCAGATGTCTGCAAACACACGGCCTCATTCATGCCCCTCCCCAGCACAAGCTCTTCTGCCCGTGCCCCAGATGCGCATCCACCAGCACCCATCCCGCCAGGTCCACACTTGCTTGCATGCATGCCCGTTGCCTTTACTCCTCCGAGATTTCCTTCCACTTAAAATGTAAATAACGTGCCATAAATATAAATGACAGAACCATATAAATGCTACTGTAAATGCACTCTGCGTCTATATGCCCACACTGTATCAGCACATACCCCATCCAACCCTAATCTGATACACATCCCTGAATGCATTCTTCCACCCCATGCCTTGCCTCAACATGCTATGCAGCTTCAGAAAGAGCAAGGGAAAGCCCTAAGCTGTTTGAAGGAGACGGTCTGTCTGGCTGGAAATTCTGCTTCTCAGTTGTTTCTGTGCCAAGCCGTGTTTCAGTGACCTCCATCTAGCCTGGGGCGAGAACCCTGGCCCTAGCAGTACTGCTGATTTTGCCCATTTTCCAGTCAATCTGGTAGGTAGGCAGATAGGTCAATACTCAGCACGCAGTTGGAAACGGGGTGGTAGGTATATTTTCCAAGCATCATCACGCTTTGTAGCACACAGATGGTGAGTGTGCCGCAGGTGGGCTTCGCATTGAGCCCTGTCAAACAAAGACCCAGGTGGGTACAGGGCACCCCACTTGTGGGTGACTGTAAGAGTACAGAGATTTCTGCACAAATGAAACATACAGAGACATAAATATATATATGTCATGTGTGTGCATGCGTGTACATACATATGTATAAGAAAATGTTTGGACAACACAAGAAGAGCTGATCTTGCGTGCCAGCTGCAAAGGGACTCGATGAGTCTCAGACTACACATATAACAACTCACTTTGCTGCTGCTGTGAGCTTGGTTCCCCTCTGTTATTTTTATAAGGCCACAGCATTAACCTAATTAATTTACTTTAATTGGAGAACAGTATTAGCCTAAACGGTCCCACTTAAATCACAGAGAAGCCGTGGCCAAGCTCTTCAAACAGCCGCCTGTCCCCATTCACCCTCCTGCAGATGGTTAACACAGCTGAGTTCAGCGTGCCTTGGCACAACAGTCCTCCCCTCTTTGTTTTCAGCTCTGAAGGGAAACACCTGCACGTCTCCAAGCGAGATCGGCTCAGAGCAGAGAAAGATCTCAGCTTAAAAGTTACGGGCTCCCCCACCGAGCCATGACCCAAACCTGGTGGGAGGACTCACTCTGGAGCCAGGAGCTCCAGCAAATCAGAGGTCCTGAGGGACCTATGCCCAGCTGACCACGCTTGCAAAGCGCTTTGCTCGCAGCCAGCCGGTGCCCCTGCCCGCTCCAGCAGTGGAGGGAGTGTTTGCAGAAGGCGTTTTGCAAGCCACAGAGGTGAACAGCCCCGCACTGATGTATGCCAGAGGCAGCAACAGGGCGCAGCGGCTACAGCAAGGAGCAGCCTTCAGAAGACCACAGCTCAGCTCTCGTTTCCCTGGTTTCTGCTGATGGCTTCCTCAGTGGTCTTTGGCAAACCCTTCCCCCATGCCGGGGTCTGGCATCCAAATGAGGCCGACGTCCTTCGCCTCCTTTGTCAGCTACACTGGTAACTACAACTGAAAAGTACACCGTAAGATCGTCGTGAATGCCACTAACCTGTTTTCTTTTAGTTTCAGAGTTGTCGCCGTATCAAGGCTTATCATCGTATTTTACCACAAAAACTGCCCTGTTTTGTTGTTAACTCGGAGGCCCAGCTTCCAGGGAGAGATGAGGGGTGGGCACAATCGAACTTAACCCAAACACATGCCGGGGGGGCTCAGACTACAGCCCTGGGGGCAGCAGAAGCAGCTCTACACCCCAGCTCACCCCGGCCGATTAGCTGATTGCACGCTGCAAAGCTTTATGTCAGCTTTCTGCCGTTCCGCCTGCTGTACTCTGGCTTCAGCACGATAGGTGTCTGTACCTACAGCCTGGCTGATACAAGGTGAACACGTCCCTCTCTATACATTTATAAACAAGCTTGACGTGGCAGAAGCCTGCAGATGATCAGGGTTTGCGGAGCCATAGCGGCCACCGTGTTTTCGAACAGCACGTAGGGCCCCAAAGGTGGGTGCGCTGAACAATCAGTCTGTTTTGGAAGAAACATCACAAAGAAAGGCAATTCTGTACGGGAGGTTCGAGAGCAAAGGGCTTGGGGGAGCCAGCAAGTCCACCTTACAACCCTTGGAAAACGAGCCAAGGCCAATTAACAATGAGCTGCAGCCGACAGAGAGGGGAAGGATTTCAAGATAAGAGAGATGGCAAGAAGCCTAGAGGAGATCAGAGCTTAGAGGGAAGAGCAGAAAAGGCCTCATGGGAATGGGTCCGAGTAGGACTGCTAAGGGAATTTAGGGGGCCTTGGAAAAGAGGACCTAGGTAATAGCCTTGTGAGATGCTGGTTAAGATAGATACAGAGCTAGGAGTGTGGGGGAGAGACAGGAATTAGCTCAAGGAGATAGCAAGGGGTGGGGAATGCGCATTACAAGTACCTGAGATGAGGTTTTTAGAGCAAGATCCAGAGAAAGGGGTGAGCTGTTATGCTATTGAGGAGAGGAGCATGAGTGCTCTGGGTGTGAGCAAAAGGGCTGCTGAGAAACTTGGGATAGAAGGTGTAAGACTTACTGAGGCTAAAATTATGAGCTGAAGACCAGCTGTGTGGTCATCCACCCTTCTGTTTTGGGGGATGGAGACCTGCAGCCAGGACATGTTCAACCCCCAAGCAATAGGCAGGTCACTCAAAAGCTAAAGCACCTTCTTGGTGGGGGGAGCACCAGTGAGAGCCAGTATACCATACCAGGCCTAGCCTCAAAGGGAGCAGCTGCATAGGGAGCTCCTCTTAGTTCAAAGAACCTGACGTTCATTTCAGAAAAGCTTTTGCTAGTTTGTTTTTAAAGCCATTCTCTTGCAGACGTGGCTTGGGATTTGGGAGTGCTGTGTTATACCTTGCTCTGCTCCATCCCCTCCTACACCCCTGCCCACAAACACCCACTGCCCGCAAACATGAGACCCACCAGAGGTTTGAATAGAACAGCTGTTATGCTTTATTTCATTGTTTTGTTGGTTTTTTTTTTATTTTTCCTTCTGATTGAAAAAGAAAAGACAGAAAAGTTACAAAAGTACTAAAAGGCAACAATATTGGCAGGACATCCCTGTTCCCCGCTCCCACCTGGGGGAAGGCAGCCTGTCGTACCCTCGGGCTGGCAGAAACATGTCTCTAGGGCCAAGCACCTCAGCAGCTCTTGCTGAGCAAAGCCTGGGGACGCAGAACCACATGGGAGCTGCCGCCCCAGCCATCTCCACAGGGAACATGCCTCTTCAGACAGGTACCAGGCTACAGCTGTCCCTTCTCCTGAGCACAGGGGTTTGGTCCGAAGGGGCGACGCTTCCTGTCCTGCACTGGTCAGCTTGATCTGGCAGCAGTTAAAAAGCTGAGGTGTGCCATCAAGACAAGATAAGCAGGGTCTCTACAGGGGCAGGAGGAATCAGCAGAGGAATCGGCCTCTGTTGGAAGAAGGGAATTCTTGCAGGGAACCACGATGCTCTGCCAGAGGCACCTCACCAGCAAACCCAAGCGACCCCTTGGACATGGTACTGGTGCAGGGGGTGGCCCAGCTGGGACAGTCTGGAGCCAAACAGCAGGCAGAGCTGGGACAGCATCAGGACAGACATCCCCTCACCACCTTGCCCAGCTGCTCTGCCTGCCGGAGTGAGAGGAGGTTGGGGAGGGAGGAAGGCAGGGGTGGGGGATTCGGGTCCCCAGGCCTAGAGGGCCTTTGGGCTTTCCCCAACGGTCTGAATGAAGGGCCCAGAAAGCACCAGTGAATGCTGGTTCACTGTGTGGCCTCCTACTGGCAGCTGGACTGACCATTGGTCTCATCCAAAGAGTGGCATCAAAGACCTCCACGCTGGAGCAGATTTAAAAACAAAAATTATTTTATATATATACTTACAGTTGCTCCTCTTGATCCAGACAAGAAGTAAACTACTCGCTCCCCCTTGCACCCAGCCAGATACAGGCTCAAGGTGGGGAATGCCTAGACAAAGATTTTATTCTCTCTACCAGGTGCAGCAAGGGGAAAAGCCTTGTTCCTCTGCCTCACCAAGATAGGTGAGAGCTTGTCCCATTAGCTCTTGCCTTGTAGCACAAAACACATACATGCCTCAAGGCCAGATCCCAGTCAAACTCCAGTGGTAGCAAGGCCTAGCATGGTCCTAACTGTCTTAGGACTGTCTATGGAAAAACATCCCCCAGCTTCTCCCAAACTCCCCTCCTGTTTCTTCTACCAACAGGTGGCCACAAAAGAGACCTTTCTCCCACTCCATGCTACACCTGGGAACACTTGTTCCACTGGTACAAGGCAGGTCTACAAGAATTTAATAGCCAGCATAAACAGGAGACTAGAAAGCTGCCAGAGACCTTAGATTTGTTTGAGTTTGGTGATACCAGTTACCTTCAGCATCATGTGAGGGCAGCAGGGTATTGGGACAATGCTGCGGAGAAGTGCTGCACATCCCAGAACACGGACAGCCTCAGCAGAGAGGAAACCCAAGAGCACACAGTCACCTCCCCAAGTTCTTCTCTCTGATGATGCTGAGAGGACTGAGGGTGGGCACTGTGTTTCCTTGGATGGCTGAACACAGACCCTCTATTCTAGAATTTTATTCTAACCCCTGATCTACAACCCCTTTCAACCCCATTTTAGACGCTATCTCCAAGTTGCCAGCAGACCAGCTGGAACATGCAGCTAGATTTGCCAGTTACTCCCTCTCCTAGGGTCTTGCATTCAAGAGAGCTTGAAGTGAATGCAATTGTAACAGTCTCAGAGAGGGATGATCTTGCTTTGCAGGCAGCCCTGTATAGCCTCTGTCTCCAATCCTGAGATCACTTCTGAGTGGGAGAAGGGTCAGATCTATAGCAAAGCACTGGTAGAGACCCAGGTACTCTTGGGAAACTGACTGGACTTGGTTTCACACCCTGATCACTCATCCCTGCTGCCATGTAGGCCGTACTAGCCCCTGAACCCCTCAGGGATATCTTCAACTACCATCATCCCTGTGTTTGACACTGCCTTGGTGGCTGCCCTTGCAGTTTGTGGACCTGACTGGTTTGTTTTGCCCTGAAAGACAAAAATTTCTCCCTTTGCCACTATTCAGTTATGGCGATGGTATGAAAACAGGCACTGCTGCAAAGCCGTATGTTTACTGCTGCCAGAGAGGCTGCATTGCAAAGATGTGTCATTGTCCCCTTCTTCTCCCACCCATCCCCTTGGGCATTGCCACCTCCCCTTCTCCCTGCCAGGCAGGTGGTTGGTTGATAGTTCCTGAGGTTTTTGGAGAAACTCCTTCAGTAGGCACATGACGGTTCTTCCACTGGAGCTATCGGGCTCAGCGGCTTCAAGGTGCTGAGGGAACGGAAGGCAAAGGTGGATGGATCATACACAAAGTGGGGTGGTGGGCGGGCTCCATTGATGCTCTGCAGGGAAATAAAAAGAGGGACAAAGTCAGTGCTCATATAAGCTGCCAACAGTGAAGTTTTGCCTCAAGTGCTTTGTCACATCCCTGTTTGGTACAATTACACCTCCTTGAATGGGTGGTCATGCATATGCTTGCAGCAAATGGCACCAACATAAGCAGTGAAGCGCTTTGCACATTCCCCTGCTCCTAATCCTCAAGAGAAAAGCATGTGCTCCACCCCCATCCCCCCACCAAGACTGAGGTTCCTGAGATCCACATGACCAGGACCCATGGCACCTGTAGCCACTAAGTGAAACAGGACATCCACAATGCATTTAGAGTCTGTCTGTGGTACTCAGTTGCCAACTGAGGTTAAACCACAACAGAGTCCCAGAGTCAGAACAGCGTCACTGCCAGAAGATGTAACATGGAAAAGCTAAATTCAGATTCACTTGGCCTTGAAGGAAGATCTACTACACTTTTAGAGCAGGGAGATAAACCAGGTCATCTCTGAAGACTCATTCTTCAGTCTTGTTTTTCAACAGCTCTCCAGTAAGGATTTACAAATCACCCTTTCTTAATCTATAAAGTCCCAGACACGCTGAAACTCTCCAGAGTTTTGGCTCCAGACTTCACAGTCCAATGAGGAATGGCTGGGAGATGCTCAGAGCAAAAGATCTCACCTGAAGCCCTTACAGCCTGGTTTGTACCACGGCCAAAGACCATTCTCTCTTTTGCTCCCAGTGTTCAGAGCACGGTCAGAGCAGACCCAGAGTAAGGAGGCCAGAAATACCCATGCACTCCATGTGCTGTGTGACAAGACAGAAATGCTGTTCCCCACTAGGCTGTGCTGGGACCTGCAGATCCCAGAGGAATTACGGTGCCAAAGAAGTGATTCCACTCTGTTAAATAGGAAGTGTTTTCCATTTACCTCTCGGGAACTTTATTTTGTTTCTTTCCTTAAGCAAGCAGAAGCACTAGTGAGGCAGCTGCTTCACAGACGCTCTTTGGCCAGGAGAGGAGGTCTCACTGCTCTACGGGCCAGCAGAGTATTTAATCATTCTCCTTCAGAGTTCATTCCCCAGGGACAGGTGTGAGCTACCAAGTGCCACATGCTGGAGAGTTTATAGCAGCTCAGAAACTCATGCAAATGTCCCCCACCCTCACCTCATTCCCATCACTGCTGGGAAGGGCTTTACCATTGTTTTCATGAAGGCTGGAAAAAGCCCAGTGAAAAGAGATCTGGCCTGGACTCTGGTGTTACGTGCCTCCCTGCTGCCTCTTCTAGGCCTTTCCTAGCGAGACCCATGTCTTCCCTTGCTCAGTCTGCACCGAGTTCCTCAAAGAATTAGGCTTTTTAGGAACAATTACCAACTCTGCTGTCTCCTCTAAGCAGAGGTTCATTTTGGCACTTCAAAATCAGGTCTACCAGACAGCTGCAACCGCGTACCAGCACGGCAAGGTGATGTTTTGATGCCACCTGCCTCTATCCTGGCTGCTTTTTAACTTGTCATCACAGGACAAGCACATGCAACTTTTCCCAGAAAGCTGCTCAAATGGTCAGGCTTACCCAAACAGTCATACCAAATTAGAGAGAGCTACAGAAGTGTCCAAGCCAGGCCCCAGGTGCTGCAGTCACTGCAGCAGGATCTGGAAGCCTCTCCCTCCAGGATCTTGGTCACAGCTCGGACCCATGGGGCAGCCTTAATGTCAGAAAGGGCCTCTTTAAAAGCCAGTGTGGGCAGCATGTTCCTGCCTAGTTAGTACCTCCTCTGCAAATTAAGATGGGCACTTGAAAATGGAAAATACCAACATGGTGCTTGGCATCAGCTGTACCTGGAGTTTCAGCCAGCAAATCATGCCCTACTACATCCCCCTGACACCTTGGCCAGCAGCATAAGAAACAAGAGAGGCAGATTTAAGGGCCTTTACTCAATAGGCACCTGCTGTGGGGTTATATATGGTGTGTGCTCTGGCAAGCCTCAGAGCTGGAGGGTAACATAGCAACCCCTATTCAAAGCTAAGGGGCAGAATAAATTAGCCCATTTGTCCTTCTCCAGAGCAGAGAAGGTCCCCTGCCAGTGCCAAGAGGGAACAGGAACAAAGAACCTGGCATTCCCCTCCATTTTGAAATGCCAGACAGGATTAGGGAGGGCAGCTGAATCAGTTCATTTCTGGCGGACGGCAGATGGAGAAGAGACTGGGGAAAGACGGGTCCAGAGGACAGAGGAAAGTCATCCACAAAACTCACCAGGCTTTGGGTGAGAAGGCACCCTCGGATTTCCCTCTGGGCTTTCTTCCGGGGCCAACGTGTGGGGCAGAGAGCCTTCCCAGGGCACAGCAAGGGAGACAGGCACAGAACAAGGGCTGAGGTGAAGGACAGGGACGTGAGAAGACACAGGAGGATGCAGAGATTCACAGGTGGTCAGGCAGCTGCAAGTAAGGCTCAAACTGCACCCAGTCCTGCCTCTTCATCATGACACCTCTCAAGCAGCCACAAGACGATGGCGGGCTTTCAACAGCGCAGCCACCACAACAGGAGGTGAGGGCAGGGTGAGAAGGGCCCTGTGTCCAACTGTAGGCAGTAACAGGAGAGGCACTAATGCAACTGCCCTCATTCACAGGAACACCCTGACCAACCTGCAGTCATCTATAACCCTGAGCAGTACAGGTCTATCTTACACCTACTCCATGATTAACAGGGCAGGACCTCTGCTAGGGACCTTGCTGGAGGAACGAAAGAGCACCAGCACCAAAGCACTCCACTCTCTTCTTGCAGAAGAGCATGTTTTCTTTGGAGCTCGTATTCTGCTCTAGGGATGACCAGGCCTGATCTGGCTTAGTCCACGACACCATTTGGGATCACAGCATGTGGTGGTCTGGCTCTGATGAGTAACACGCAGCAAAGCTCTGTAGATATATTCCCAGAAAGAAGATGGACAGGGTCGGCTGCCAGAGAGGGAAACACGTTCCTCCCACCCCGTTGCTTGGGCCAGCTGCCTCCCTGTAGTCTGGGCAAGTGTCCTAGCCAGCCTGCCCTTCCCCTTGGGTGCCCAGCACCAGCCTACGATGCCTGGAACATTGGTTCGACTAAGGAAGGCTGTTAGAGTTGCTGCTACTGCAGCAGGCCCCCGGAGAGCTTGCCACAAACCTGCCTGACAGCCCCTGCTGAGCAACCCCAGGCCAGCTCCTGCAGAGGCTTCCTGGAGCACGAACACTCCACATTTGACATTAAAGGCTAGTGTGTTCACTCTAATGGCATTTGGGCAGCTGGGTAACTCACACAAAATGAAGCCTAATATGGGCCCTGCACTAATGGCAATCATTAACCAGGGCCCTCAATTTGTTAAGCAATGTATTTACACAGCTGGAGAACAGCCTGAGATACAAGCACTCGGCTGCCAGCAGGAGGGCACACACACTCAGATACACACTGTCACACACACCCATGCTCACTTGCACAACACTTACCTGCTCTCACACGCCTCAGGTTCTTCCCAGTACACATGCCCTTCCCTGGTCACTTGTCCACACCCCTCCATGCACACACAGAGACCTCCTCCTGACTTGGAAATCACAAGGAGAGCTGTCCGCGCTCATACAAATCTTGTCCACTCACATCGTAACTCAAGCCAAGCAGGGCCTGAACTCCACCAGCATCCAGTGGACAGCCCAAGGGAGCACAGCTCATCACTTGCTTGTACAACTGCCTGGAGCAGGAGGTAGTTTCAGTACCTACAGACACCATGCTGCCTCATTGCACGCCTCATTTGATTTAGATGAGCTCCTAAGGGAGTTAGCTTGTGTTAACACATTTCAAGCAACTATGCGCAGACCGCCTCGGTCACACACGCTTGTCAGCATGCACCCAGATACACACTTCTTCCCTCATATACACACGCCTACATATACACTCCTGCAAACCTGTACTGTGGTCACCAATTGCTTTATCACCATTAAATACAGGTGGTAAATAAGCAACCAGGCTTGAAACATATCTGAAACACATTAACAAAGAAGCACACCTAAAGATGGTACAGATAGCAACTGGATGCAGGTGCCTCAAAGACGACCAGTGAGATTAAACACCGCAGAAGAAATGCGGAATTTCAATCATATTAGCAGCCCTCAAAAAACAGAGAAATGGGCAACTGCTTCATAAATCCATCTGTAACATAATTGTACGTTTCAGCAAGAAAAAAGTGCATCAGAAGAAGATAAACAGGTAAAGGATAAATCTACTAATACAAACCCATATTCCCCGTAGAAACCCACCCCTTACCCCTGTGAAGTCTGGGAAAATATCTCAAATGCAGATTGTGAAATCATTTTGGACTCATGATTCCAGAGAAGTGTGGTTCTCTTCTTTGGACAAAGCAAAGGCAAGCACAGCTCCAAGCATGCTTTCAGCTGTAGGAATGACAATCCCCACAGGAGGGGGGAAATGAAGTTACCTAACACAACAATGTCTTAGAAGGGAGTGGTGTGCTAGGGGTGATACGAAACTAAGCCCTGCTTAATACTCTTTGGTCCTCTTTCATAAGAGCTGTAGTATCCTGGCAGGATTAAAAAGTGGATCAGCTTGTGCACTCTGCCAACCCGTCCCCTACTCAGGGCCAATCCAGCACAGGAGTCCCTTCTTTCCTACCCCAGCAGTTGGGAAACACTGCCGAGCTCTGTTGAAAGGATGCTGCCTTCCAGTGGTGGATGCCTCTCAGTGGTGGGTGAGTGATCCCTTTGCAGTCTGTAGACCCACTTGTTAAAAGTCCTTTGGGATGAAAGGCACCATGTAATTGCAAGTTGTAAAGGCACATCCGATTCCCACCATCACCCTGTGTGGAAAGGAATAAATCCCCAGAAGAGCCCTGGCAAAGACAGACGCCTGCCTGCGATGCTGCCTGTTCATGAGACAGCCGCCTTGCCCAGGAGTGGACAGAACCAGAGGTAGTGCTGATACTCAGGCTGGGCACAGAGACAGTAAAGGCTGGCTGACTCCACAGTGGAGCATTTACAGGTACA